CATAATAAATACTCATTCAGATAAAACAAATAGCATAAGTTTGAGGAACACTGTGACTGTTGGAAAAGTATAACTATTGGTAAAGCCGCTTTTATGGGGATGTTAAAACAAGGTGTCTTTCAAAAACAGTTGAATGAACTCTGTAGGCAGAATTTGATATCAGAATATCGGCGACCACTGCTAAACGAAAGCCTTCCCCATGAAGCACCAACCAGCCAGGTCTTCGGCAGTCCGCATCCATCCACTGCCATCGTGCGCAGGGCGCTCTACACTACGTTTGCCTAATTTTCTGTCGGATAGTTTCGTTTCGAATTTATTGACTAGGGAAACAGCTAGCATTGCACGCTCCATCGCACGCTAAATGACTTTAAACTTGGTAACCAGGCTGAGTTGAAGAATCTTCAAGACTGGTGAGCACTACTTTCTGAGCAAGCAGAGATGCCATCAGGATCAGTATGTCGTATGCAAAGTGATATCTCGCAACTATAAGATGTATTGGCCTTTGATATAATGATCTGTCCATTACAATCGAGCGTCTTGAAGACATCGTCCAATGCATTTGCAAACAGTTTCGGATAAATAACGTCTCCTCTGTTTTTCTCCGCGATGCAACTGGATAGGTCTTGTGCTCTGTTCTTGTACTTGGACCGTCATCGTTGCGGCTTCGTAAATACATCTCAGCACTTGGCCATATCGGCAGTCGACATCTGTGCATAGATTCCATTACAGCCCAGGTCTCGATATTGTCGAAGGCCTTCTCGTAGTCCACATACGCTAGGCAGAGAGGCTGGTTATAATCCTCTGTCTTCTTAATTATTTGCCTTAATGTGTGTATATCGTGCTGCAAAAGTTAACTTGACCGCAACGAGTACCGTGAAATACGGGTATTATGATTTTTTGTTTATTTAAGCTTGGTAAATTTATTTGCACCATAAAAAATATATTTCATTCTCATTCCTGAATGCTCTTTATGAAACCAAACGAGTATAAGCCACACAGACAAATGTTTTTACAGTTTACATCAGGTCACATTTTAGTAAAACTGTCCTAGTTATCCAAAAGGCTTACGCGCTGATGACTTTATTGGGACTTATATTTCATAAAAAAAGTTGAATCAAATAAAATGAGACACATTTTCTTAATAAACACATAATATATGTTTACAATCGGTAGTGTTTTTAGTAATACAGAGTTTCTAATACTATAGATGCATGAAGACAAAAAGTAATTTTAAAACATATCCTTTCGAGCCACTTGGACAAGCGTTCAGAAATAATATGTTGTAAAACATTGAGATTATTTAAAACTGTCATTATATACCATGAAAGGTATAAAATATGTACTGAACGTCTGTAGTTTTATATAGACGTTTTTATTTCATTTTTAGCTTTACACATATTGATTAAAAACTGTAACTTATTGCATTTGCAAATACGATATGTTTCAATACGCCATATTTGGTTAACAAGGTTTACAGAGAATTTTCTTAACGTATTAATAAGTGGATTTTATTTTTTTGACCAAAGACATACTGATAACAAAAGTTCCTTGACCCATTTACCATGTAAGTTACACAAATTATGTATGAAACAGTGTGAATAAAGTCGATTATTTGGTACAAAAAGTTGCTTACATGGGAATAATAAACACCTTTTATTTTTTAATTTATATTTAATAAATATAAATATTTATGTAAACAATCATACGTTACCTTTTAAATAATTATGTTGTTACCCCTCGTCTCCTTGTATAATAGACAGTAGGTCGAAAAATACTTTACAAAGTAGGCATCCCTAAACACGCATTGTGTGACAGTTTGTGGACAATAACTACACGTACTCATACATTATGCATAAGATTTGTTTGAAGTACTGTATCTAGACAGGTATATTATAATCAAAGACCTCACTTACTAACATAAAACTGTTGATCTCTGTTGAGCAGCAGTCAATAAACGTGATACTGTCCAAACAGTGATCAATTAAATCTGTATGACGTCGTCATCCTCAATCAATGGCCTCAATTTCAGTATCACGTCATGATGTATATCATGATGTAATACTGAAATGATACTGAAATAATAAAAAAGTTGGAAAATCCCACAAATAATTCTTACCTTTATACAATTTCGACTCCTGTGATTGCAACTTCTAAAGGCGTTTGGCCAGAAAATCCATCACAGTACAGTACAAGTAGCAAAACTATGTTCCTTTTCGTTCTTTGCACAATTTTTCTTTATTTTAGAACACTGGTCCAAATCTTTGCACCCTTATTAAAGAAGCTCATTAGCTTCTTTAATAAAGGTGCATCATTTGCGGTCATCAGTTATCGGTATATTATCCGAGTATCATTGAATTATCTTAGAAATCTTCGTATTATCAGACACGTTTCCGTTTTTCACAGCTATTTTAAAAATATATTTTACGATATGATTAAGATATTAAAAACCACTACATAAAATAACTATATGTGTGAGTTATCGTATTATAGATATCCTAATTTATCCCTACGTATCCAGTAATCGCCAAAAATGTGGTATGAATAATATTTGTGCAATCGAAACCAACTTCTATCGTAATCTTGTTTATATGTATACGACACTATTTGATAACAAATATGATCCCGTCGCTCTTTCTTTGAATTATTAATCCCCGGTCAATCTCATATCATAAATAAAAACAAGTAAAATAAATGTGCACTTGCACAACTTCTATTGCTTAACAAAAGCTTTTCCATCTTACAAAATCCTTGCAACGGCCTCCACCGTATTTAACCTAATTGGGAATTTGATAATTAATATTTATAAAATTTATGTCCTTAGCATTTTCAGAACCTTGATGTAAATGGTAAAATCATGGTTCTGACTCATCCAGTAATAAAAGTTTTGGATTCCTGAAAATATAATTAAAAGGTTTACAGATAAGCGTGTATTGCGCGGTACTATTAATGTATGTAACTTCTATGTACACACATAAATAGTGCATACATAATTTGAGCCACAAATCGTGTCAGGTACTGGCTTAAAGCTTTTGTTCTCCACTAGTTCTTTCGAGAAGCACTTGCAGCTAGCGGACATTTGTACATACATATTACAATTGTTATTGGAATAACTTAGATTACAATGTACCATTATCATATCATAGGTAGCCGTAGCAAAATAAATGTCTAAAAATACATCAATAATGTACTGAAATATGCACATTAAATTAAATTGGAATTGAATAAGTTGAAATTGAATTAAATGGAAACGTTAACGCAGTTGGATCAATAAACACTATCTACCCTTGAAGCATACAAAAAAAACAAAAAATCTAAAAGATACTGTAATACAATATACTTGAACACTGTTTACTTGAGTGACGATCACGTGAAACCATATCAGGCAAAAATGTGATTCTACATGCACAGGTGTACTAAACATCTTTAAGCAAGTAACTGAAGCCAAATATATGCATTTGTGCAACCCTCTATTTATATACCCTCTAAATATTTAATGGAAAGAAGCCAATTTATTTTATATTTACATACAAAAGTAGCATAGTGACAACATTTCAAAACGTATTAAAAATGAATTTGAATAAATTAAGCAGTATTTTTTTAATAGTACATGACACAATAGAGATCTTATTAAAGATTCGATTACTTCTATGAGGAAAAAATACGAAATTAAAAATACTGAATACTGTGTTCGGTAAGTATTTAGAACCAGCATTATAAACATCATAGAAATGTACATATAAGATATTTTGCAATCAAATATAATATCATTTATAGTAATTTAAAATAAATCTAATTTTCTCGTGTTTTGCTACTTTTAAATTAATTAATCAATGAATACAATAATTTTTAATAACAAATAATTAGTTTTAAAATGTTATTAATTAATCTTAGTCTGTTGTTACAAATATTTATTAATTTTAATAGTTGAGATTGGGAGAACGAAATCAAGAACCAAGATAATAAATTATACTTATAATTATACAAAATACTCGTATAAATAAATGCGGGTATTCGTTTAAATTTCAACTAATTTAGACCCAACCTCATTATCATCAGTCAATTATTAGTAGAGTTGTATAAATGTAGAGTCTTGCGGCAAAAGTCGATCAAATTTACCTTAAAATTTTTAAACATTTGGCATCATGTTAACTGTAAACGTATTTTGTTACTTGCCTGCTGAACGATATTGAAATATCAAGTTTAGAGTACAGAATACATAAATATTTTATGAACGTCCAGCATTGGTTACATTATTATACCTACTTGAGTTTATAACTCTGCATGGCTCGGTCGATCAATTACATAATCTCTAACAATGACATACCTATTTAGTCACATTCATCTCAACGGCACATAAATTGATCGATTAATTATATTTCATTATTACTCATTAGATTGCAAAAAACAAACTTCAAAAAATTCTCAAACAACCATAGGTAAAACGTTACAGCGATGCGGGTAATAGGCAAACAAAACAATGTTAAATACAATTAGAAAAAACTGAAATTAGTTTTACGAATTCCAGGCCATGCAATTGCCACTTACTGTGCCTATTTCATATGAACCTATCCTCTGAAAACATGTCTCGTGCATTGCACGGCTCCGCCGTTTGGCAGTGCTATTTTTAAAACAAAGTGTCTATAAATAAATAGTATCAAGAAAATATTTGATGTGAGTGTACGAGTGTACGACAGTGACTGTGGCAGAAGCAAACTCGTTGCGTCACCCTGCGACTCCTCCGTCTCGCCACCGTTATCGAACTTCTTCTTATCTAAACAAGAACTACTCGACCGGCCGATAAACGAGGAGCAAAAGTGTGCGCCCGCGCCGTTTTGCCTCATTCCATCTCACTCAGTGCCCTGTGATTAGTTCGTTCGTTTGCCTCTTTTATCGAACCGTGTCGTTCAGTTGCTCATTCGTCGTCGTCGCACTATCACGACCACGCACGCGTCCTTCCCGCGCAATGAACCAGCAAGCCAACAACACATAAACCATCCAAAATGAAGCCTAATCGGTTATAACGTTTTGTTAACAAAACCAATTTTTAATTTTAGATCGAATAAATATAATTTTGTGATATTTAGTTAGTTTTCCGTATTTTTAATATTTATAAATCGTTACGATGAATTCGGTTTACGTTGTTTAATATTCTTATTTTATACAAATTATAATTCAGTGCTCAAGATAATCTCATTCCAAATCGCGCAATAATTACAAAAAATTCGACAACAAGAATTGCGATGACAGCAAAAACTCGTTCACATTGGAAGGAATATGGAACAGCACTTTGTGGTGAGTAATTTTCTAACCTATTATTATAGCATGTGCGTCGGCCATGTGTCGACGGTTGGATGTGGACAATACATCCGTTCTGACGCAAATACTCAGTTCTTAATATATTTTAATTAGCCGTCAATTCCCAGATAATTCATGCCATTTCCAATTTGCAACACACCGCCCACAACCTAACTAACACTGGCGTTCCACGTCAATAACATTATTTTGTGAAAGCTACCGAAACATGTCCTGATACATAGTTTCTATCTCTAGTAAAACTGTTACAGATATAATAGTTAGATAGGTATATATACAATGTGTATTCGTCTACAGTGAGTCCAAGTAATAGTTAATAAACATGTCAATATCTCATAACTGTGGTTAAAATGAACTATCGCTGTTAATTCGTTATCATTGTATGTAACCCTTTCACACTCCACATGCGGCGTTTTCGTTCTATGATAACTACCAATATATTTTAAATAAGAAATTAGGGAATAATATAATCAAAAAAATCTATAACACAGCATGTGCTACAATTCTTAATTCTTGTAAGAGAACAGTTTTAAGCTTTGGATGTTTCCGTAGTGTAACTCGAATAATGATCAGTGAGATATATAACAGCAATAGTTGTACAATAACCAAAAAACGGAAGTGCTAACGATAAAATTGTAACAAATCAATTGTTTTTAAACAACCACATTCAAGTACAAATTGTTCACAACATTATTTTTAGTGTAACAATACAACTGTATTTACGAGTAAATATAGGTAATTATGTTTGTTATTAGTTTTGTCTTAATGTTTTTAACGCTAAAATATTGGTGGACACATTAACAACCTCAAAGAACTTTAATTATTATATTCTGACACCGTAGTATTGAAAGCGTTTACCTATCATGTCAATATTTAATCTTGTATATCTTCAAACATGTTAATAACGATTTAAGAGATTACGAATCATCATGATTCTTATTTAAAAGATTATACAATTATAAAATATGTGGTAGAGCAATAGCTCTACCTTTAACGTATAATATTTATAATAACTTAGGTATAGGTAGTCGATCATCGTTAACGGCACCCCGTATGGGTTTATCTTTTTAGAAATGTGAAACTGTCTCGAACTCAGATCTAATAATTTTACGTTTTTCATAAACCTAAAATGGACTTTGTATTATCAAGATAGGATTCTTGTTTCTCCCCTCAAATGCTGGACTTATAAAGCGAGTAATAGCTTTTAGATATCCCTTCAACTCTTACATCACTGTACTTACTGTATTTTGTGTGATTACTAAAATTTACTTCTAAATGTACAAAATAATATAATCACTATTTCCTAAGTAACTTTAATTGTTAGCCATCCAAAGAAATCGTGAAAACGAATGTATAGATGCAAGTAACTTTTGTAGCTTTGATTTTAAATTATAGAAAAGAATAGTATTATGTATTTTTATACAATATCGCTGCTCGAAAAAACACATTTCAAGTTATAATTCGACGAAAAGGATGCCATTCTTTCCAGGAATACCAAAGCCTCAGGTAAAAATACAAAAGGGTCTCTATTGAAACACTACCGAACGTACTATTAGTCGAAAATATGAGTAATAGAAACAAAAACAATTGGATTTGACGATATTCCGTTAAAAATCCTTCAAGATTTTGTTATTGCTGTGTTGTATATCGCGTCAAATAAAACTACCAACTAAAATTGTCCGTTTAAGTTTTATCACTCGCAAAAATGTTGTTTGCAAAGGTATTTAAAGATTTAATAAATGCAGCCTTGGCCTATAAAGTAAAAAAAGTTGATAGTGAGTGGTCTCTTCGCTTTTATAAAATATAGAAAAGCTTTGCTATTTTTGCAATAATTATGGTACACATGTCACCTCCATTAGTTCTAGTTCATTTGGACAGACGAGAAAACATCTTAAATTAATAAATATTATTTGCTAAGTGTATACTGTACAACAAAACAGATAACAGGTATTAAATTTATGATATTATGATATATTATATTATATATTATAATTCACACCATTTACTTTGATTGATATTAAAAAATAATTTAAATTCATGACTTATTTACCGATGTTTTTATCTGGAATATACAAATATAAAATAGGTATGTGGAGCTGAGATAAATTGATCTTGTCATTAATCGTACTTTCACAATTCAAAGAAATAATATTTATCGCAAGTAAATGTGTTTGAATTTGCCTAGTATGAATAAACAGACCTAGTAATAAAATAAAGCGGAAGAAATTAGTTGAATGTATATCTATGTTAGTAGACAATATCCTTTTGTGCTTGTTGTACTTTTGCAGGAAATCATAATAAGTGGATAATGATGTCTAGACAAGAGGCCTTATTGTCAAGTGTTCATTAGTTGCATTCCGGTTAAGCTTAGCACTTTATCAAATACACAATGTAAGTTATAAAGTGCTGTTTCCTCTGAAGAGACGTATTAATTACCTTGTTTACGTATTATGTACTTCGAATTTCAGAAAAATATGTTTATTTCTAGTCAAGACTATATTAGTCACAATTACGTAAAGGCCTTTTGTACTTCATTTATTTTAGCAGCAACTAGTGAAGGATAAATCAAAAGAGATTTCAAAATTGGTTGTTATAATTATTTCCTGAAATTCTGCCCCTCAGTTCAGTTACCAGGGTCAAACATAACAAGAGAGCGGTGTGCTTCTAATAAAAGTAACTAAACGACTCGATTTAAACTAAAAGCTTGTCACAGTCATACCTTTGCGAATAAAAAACAATAGAATAAGAAAAGGTTTGTTTTTTTGCTTGTAACACTTTTCCTATACTACATTAAACGTTATTATTCAGCGTGAAGGCCAATCATTTCTTGCTGTTCTGGTTTCATAATGCGTAGTTTTAATTTCCGAAAGGTCACTGATAAATAATTATATCGCACATTCGTATGCTTACATATGAACATTACATGTAAAGCGAACAGTAGACATTGATTGACAGTGGTTTAAAGGGCAAATTAAGGTATCGAGAGGAATCAACACACTCGTGATATCTCACTTCTATTCGAGTATTAGGGTTAACATCATGTACTTTGCCAAACATAGCTATAAACTGCAACTTTAAAGGGAGACTAAAAGCTACTGGTAAGAATTCTTCGAACATTCAAACCAGGGTATTTATGGTTTTACAACCAATGACAAACAGAAATGGGGATTACGTGAGCGGCATTGACCTTACAAACTAAAGGTTGCGAATAAAAATGTTTTTTTAATATCCTAACTAGTCTCAACCAGTCTTATCGTAATTATCTTAGTATTGAAGAGATTGACATGACTGCTAGCTACCAGAACAGTCTAAAGAACTATTTATTTAGTGCTTTAATATCATGTGATTGCTTTTAATCATTTCTTCTTAATACAATAACTACATTATCGAGAAAAATATACTAGTAAATATTCAAAAGTAATTAATAAAAATATTCTCAATTATTGTAGGTGTAATAATCTAGTATTATCTATATCAGCCACGTGCGTGCGTAACTTGATCAAATCGACTGTCCAAATGTTGATTGTTCATATTTTCAGAAGCCTCCAATTAGATAAGAAAATAAATTGGCCATCCGAAAGAAAAAAAAACGGAGTCACACCCGGTCGGAAAGCGTCAGGGGTCGCGTAAAGTTCCTTTCGCTTTTTGGTAGACGTTTGCTATACAGTCATTTTAGTTTATATTATAAAATTTCAAGTTAATAGAGTTAAATTCCAAATGTATGATAAAATATATATATTATGTATAAAATAAATAATGATAAATTAAACACTGAATGATCAGGACCAGAAGTGTCGGAGAAAAGTCTTGTTACACATTTTTCCGCTCAGAGCGTGTAAAGTACGATAAGGAACTTCGTTCTAACAAAATAAAGCAAGAATTTATTTTAATTTTCTCATTGAGTAATATGAAATCTATAAATTTGGCATTATATAATACATGAGCAAATAAATATGCATTTTTATGCTATATTTTCGGTATAACCAGGAACTGAGGATATTAAAAAAAATTAACATGGGAAACAGACACCTAATTTAATTATCTGCATATAAAGTGTATATTTAAGCCAGTTTGTTGTAGTTTTAGACACAAGATTTTTGGAACGAAGTTCCTTATCGCGCGTTATAGGCTTTGAGTAAGCGGCTGGGTACGAGACCAAAAAATGTAAAAAATTACGTTTTCCGACACTATAGTGTCTACCAAAAAGCAAAAGGAACTTGACGCGACACCTGACGCCGTTTTTTTCACGTCTATGGTGTCCTTTAAGTTTTAATGAATGGTTAAATAAGTATTTTCGTGTAGAACACGATCTTTCGGAAGTTATAACCTAAGTACCTACGAATACAGTGTGCAAGTAAGAACCTTGCTATATATTTCATTTTCCACAATTCTTCAAACGAGAGTTAATTACAAAGTTGTCATTTATGTGATATCAAAATTTGTTTATTTGTTAATGTTGATGCTTCGCACACAGGATGTACCTTATATTTCAACATTTAAATAACGATCTTTTGTGTAACGCAGAAAGTGGAATTTTTCCAGCACAGCACGGTTTGTCTATTTAACATAACAACCGTAATAGCTAAAACGTACTATTCGCCAAGATTAACTTTTTCTCGGAACGAATCGAGATCAAAAATAAATTTTGGGAAGTAGTAATCATGCATTGCTGTTATTTGCAAGTAGGACAGCATTTCAGCAATACTCGAAAGTTAATGTTGTTGCCAGTATCACGTAGTTAAATATTTAGATAATTATCTTTGGCAATGGCATCAACATTTTTACATGTTTAAAATTTACATACATAATACAAATGAACAATGAACCAAAACTTAGCTTAGCTAATCAAAACTTTATCGTAAACAAATCTGGCTATAAAGTGGTATAATATTTACATCTTGGTATATAAAACGTCATGTACAACTTACAAATAGGTATTACTATTCTTGCACAGACTGGTAACTTAGGTCTCGACGATG